GAAGTTCGGATAGTACAATTTTCATTTGGAATTCGTGAAATTCAGCAAAACCAGTAGATCAATTCGCCGTTGATTGAGTTTTTGAATCGATCCAGAAAAATACAAGTTTATCTACCAACGAATTGAGGGATAAATAATTTTTGATACAGTAGATTTGTCAACATAAGCTAACTCGTGCTCGTTTCGATGGTTTCGCACGACTCAGCTGACTAGATGGATCAATTCACCGTCGATTGAGTTTATAAATAAATCCACAAAATGTTTAATTTATCTGCCGTCGAATAAACGAGAAAAATGAAATTCATCTCCTTGGCGAGTCGATTTGAAAGAGCGTACGCCATTTCAAGCCTACAATGACGATTCCGCATGATTCGGCCCTCTTCATAGATCAAATCGCCGTTGAATGAGTTTTTGAGTTAACTCACTGAAAAGAAAAATTAATACAACACATAATCGAGAAAAATAAAAAATCTCGGTCTTGACAGTCGATATCTGCAGGCGCTTGTCACTTCGTGCCCGTCACGAAGGTTTCGCGCGATACAACCCTTTTGACCGATCAAATCGCCGTTGAATGAGTTTTTGAGTTAATTCACAGGAAAGGAAAATTGATACAGCAACACATTATCGAGAAAAATAAAAAATCTCGGTCTTGACAGTCGATATCTGCAGGCGCTTGTCACTTCGTGCCCGTCACGAAGGTTTCGTGCGATACAACCCTTTCGACCGATCAAATCGCCGTTGAATGAGTTTTTGAGTTAACTCACTGAAAAGGAAAATTAATACAGCAACACATTATCGAGAAAAATAAAAAATCTCGGTCTTGACAGTTGAAATCTGCATTTTTTATTTTTCTCGATTATGTGTTGTATTAATTTTCCTTTTCAGTGAGTTAACTCAAAAACTCATTCAACGGCGATTTGATCTATGAAGAGGGCCGAATCATGCGGAATCGTCATTGTAGGCTTGAAATGGCGTACGCTCTTTCAAATCGACTCGCCAAGGAGATGAATTTCATTTTTCTCGTTTATTCGACGGCAGATAAATTAAACATTTTGTGGATTTATTTATAAACTTAATCGACGGTGAATTGATCCATCTAGTCAGCTGAGTCGTGCGAAACCATCGAAACGAGCACGAGTTAGCTTATGTTGACAAATCTACTGTATCAAAAATTATTTATCCCTCAATTCGTTGATAGATAAACTTGTATTTTTCTGGATCGATTCAAAAACTCAATCAACGGCGAATTGATCTACTGGTTTTGCTGAATTTCACGAATTCCAAATGAAAATTGTACTATCCGAACTTCAGCGTCAGAAAAAGAAAAGACTTGTTCGGACGGCAAGTAGTCAGTTGTTGGCAGCCGTTGCTAAGGGGGTCTTCTTCTTCGCCCTGTAGCATAAAATATTTTTTTCAAAGTCAGCGAAAAAAATTTATTATCGTCTAATTTTGCAATTTCTCATTAATTTTTCGTGTCAAAACACCGTTGAAAAAAATTAACTTTATGATATGATTAATTTTTAACCTAAATTCGAAAATTTTTTTTTCACTTTGTATTTCTCACCTTTACAATGTCAAATTTTGATTTTTTATCGCATATATCAGTACACCATCGTAAAATTCATACATTTTCCTTTAATTTGGTGTATTTTACTTATAATTTTTGTGTCGCTAACTATTTTTAATTTGATCGGAAAAAGTGTCCGCTTTATCGTGAACATACAATAGGCCCCAAAACACACCCATGGTAACCAGACAGGTGAAAACGCGGGAAATGAAAGCTAAAGGGCAAGAAACGAGAGAAACGACTAGCTCAGAGAAATTCCCATATAGAGAAGCGATCGGCAGTCTTATGTACCTGGCGACGGTAACAAGACCCGATATAGCGTATGCGGTCAACTACTTGGCGAGAAAACAAGTGGCACCGACCGAAGAGGACTGGAAAGATGTCAAAAGAGTCCTCAGATATCTACAGGGAACAATAACTATTGGCATAGAGTATAAGGGCATAGGAGAGACCCTAACATGCTACACAGACTCGAGTTTTGGAGATAACTCCGACTCCACGTCGACCAGCGGATATGTGATCAAGCTGTTTAACGACCCGATAGCTTGGAGGAGTCACAAGCAATCGACAGTGAGCGTGTCCACATGCCAAACGGAGTATCTCTCGATGAGTGAGGCAACGCAAGAGATAATCTTCCTTGATAAATCCATTAGAAATATGCTCGGAAAAACGATGCTACCTGCGAAGATGTGGTGCGACAATAGATCCGCCATAGATTGTACAGAGATGGACGGATGCAATAAGCTCAAAAGCTTCGATGATTCTTTAGAGTGGATAATCGAGGGACTGGCCGAAAGAGAGAAAACCGGCAAGAAAAGAGACATGTCAAGCATACATGGGGATTACGTAAAGAGTTGCGCAATGGAAGGGAAAATAATAATAGATTGGGTCAATACTGCTCAAAATGATGCCGACATAATGATCAAACCCCTACCCGCTCAAAGCCACGAATATCTTAGAGATAAGATACTGAATAGATAGAGTTTATATATACATATATAGAGGATATACATATATAACTAACTCCTTGCTTATTCTGTTACAGCCACAAGAAGACCCAACAACAACAGCAACAGTAAATATTAACTAGCCTATGCGCTAGTGGAGAAAGGGGAGGGAGTGTTGGGAGCCTTTCTACATAGCGCAATCAGCGCGGGGCTTCTCAGCCTCCCTTGCAGGCCCCAATCTCATGAGCGTGTGTGCGCCGAGAGATTATAGAGTGAGTGCTCTCTGGCGCCGCCTATCGACACACACGCGTCAGTTGGTTGCTGCTGTGCACTCGAGCAGGACACGAGAGTAAACCACGCTTTGCTTATTCTTACTTAACATTAAATAAATAGTCATACGATTACAGAAATAAAGTGTTCACTGTTTTTTTTCCCATCACAATTTCCTCTCCGGCGCTAGGACAGTAAATTTGATTTTAGTCCAACAGTTCTACATGAGAATGGCTACAAACGCAAGCACTTTCAAAGGTATTCGGACAAATGAGCACTTTTTTCAGGCTATGATGTAGCATAATCTGTCATTTTATCATATATATTAATGAATAAATGCGTATATGTGGCTGGCAAATTGTGTATAACTAATTAAAAAATCTGAAAGTGCTTGCGTTTGTAACCACACATCTAATGATCAAAATGAGACCCCAAGGACCGTGATTGAATCATCGGTTCTAGCTGGATCCTACGGCACAGGGGTACCTGTCAGGACTGTGGGCTTGCTTCATCGAGGAGGGTTCTATGGTGACTGGGACCTCAATTTTCATATTCCAGAGTGAAAAACTTTGAAAAAAGAGTGAAGAAAACAGAGTTTTCTCTGAATATTCAAAAAAGAATTTTTTTCTTCATAATTAATAAATTTTTTATAAATGTAGGTTTAAGGTACCTTTCCCCCCTTAAGTCGTGAGCGCGGATTTGAATTTACAGAAAAGTAGCTTGCGCGGCTCGTCGTACAGTAAGTACGACGAGCAGACGATAATAAATAATCGAGGGACCTACGATCGATCGTCATAGCACGTGAACCCTCACTTCGTGTCCGAGCGTCAAACTGTGTTTGTGAACTTTGCGTGCGAGCGAACCAACGCGGATCCACCTCGAGCGACGACCCTATGCGAGTGGATCCTGCAGACGACTTTGTCATCGACGAGTAAGCGACCGAATGTCTATTGTATTCATTGCGAGCGTGCATGTGACCCTAATTTAATCGAATTATTACTAATTAGTTTTCATGCAAATAAATCGATTTATTTCATTTTATTAATTCGCGCCTGATTATTTATTTCGGGTTGCCTATTTCGACCTATTTCAGCAAGGCGATTATTCCACGAGCAACGGCTCGTCGAGCATCTGTACGCGGGATCATCATCAGAGCTCGTCGAAGCAAGGTATCGACGAGTTGTATTGTGCAACGCGGGTTTGCGACCATATTCTCGTGTGGCACGAGCTAGCCGACTCTTCTGCAAGGCATTCCCCGTTACAGTACATACTCGCTGAAGATTAAAATTTGGAAGATCGACTGTAAAAGAATGAGCAGCTCAAAACTTTTTATAACGGACTAGTTAACTTTAAAACTATCATTTTTAAAAATTAAGTTTTAATTAGAAAATTTCACTCTTTTTCAACTTTCATTTACTGGTGTGGCGAATAGTTCGCACTTGCCCAGTAAATGAAAGTACAAATATAAGCATATTTTGATTGGATATTTGAAACAATCCTCATTTATGAGGTTTTAAAATGTTTGTGAAATGGTTCTTCTCTACTCAAATAAAACAGATTTTTAAAAAATATCCCTGAAAAATCACCAAAACTTGTCCTACAACATGAAAAATCATAACATGACCTTGAAATATTTTAATTATGTCATTAGACACAGCTGCCCTTATTTTAATCATGGCAATATGGCAATAAAAAGATTGGTTTGGATGATAAATTTATGTTTTAGTTTCTTATTAAATAAAAAAGTAATATTACAGTCTACATTGATTATCAAATCAACGTATGCTTATATTTGTACATTCATTTACTGGTTTCGCGGCTTTCATTCACTGGATCGAAGTTTCATTCACTGGTAAAGCACGTTTTTTTTCTTTTTCATGAACTTTTATAAATGAAAAACTCAATTGAAAATTCTGTCAAAATTCTAATACATGATTATACACATAAATGTATAGTAAGAGTAATGAAAAAAGTTTTTTTGTATACTTCAATAGTGTTTTGCTTAGCCCAAAAAGATTTAAAACGATATGTCATTTTATGGAAAAAAATTCGCTAAAAACCCCTTCTCTTTTGGTCGATAAACTAGCATAGCCTCTTAAAAAATTTAACTGTGGTTTGCCAGTTGAAAAAAATTGCTTGGATATCCGTGTTGATCTTATTATTTCTTAAAACCTATTATAATTAATTTCATGCAAAAATGATTTATTATTACTTACGAAGCATGTAGTAAGTAAACACGAGACTGAGCTTTGTTTAGTTCTTGCAAAGAATATTTGTAGCTCGACATTCCTGGATTCAACTCGATTATATACTCAACCTAAAACAAACAAATAAAATAAATTATGTTAGAATCATCGTTGATTCAAAAAGTATTAAAAACAAGTTGGGTGTGATAATTGATGCTAAGCTAAGATATCTACATTCAAGTCCCTTTATCTTTTCAAATTCAATTCAGTTGCGATAACATACGAATGATTAGAGCGGTCGTTGGCTCAGTGCGTAGCGTGCAAGGCAACGAGACAATGTCCGTTCGAGAAGCTGTGAGTTCGAATCCTAGTGAGGTCATTCGGATTTTTTCCGATTGTCATTCGGCGGGAACCTAACATGCTCCGGCTGTCTCGAGGCGGGTTTTTCCTGGAGGATGGAGGTGGAGGATACAGTGCATATGCACTACCCCAGGTTTCCTTTGCCTCACAGTTCCTCGGGCCTGGACAAATGTGAGACATAGTGCTTTCATAGAGAGCAAAAGTCCGCGGATGTTTGTGGCAAAAGGTTAAGAGTTCACAGAAACACTGACATGACACGATATCGTGGATATCGCACACCTCCCGACTGTTTGAATGGTCTAGGGCGAACGTGAAAATATCATATGATACGAAGGGAGTAGAATTAAATTTTTTGTATCAGTGCATGTTGCATAGATAAGTAATAAAAATTTTTCAATTTTTCGAACGGTTTGTTGCGAATTTCGCATATTCGAAGAAAGACTGCAGTGTTATCGCATGTATTAATAGCCAGTGTTTCATCTTATTTATCGTAAAAAATAAATTAATAATCATCAATAATTTTTAACTTGATAGATTCATAGGCATTAGCAAATTTCGCACTCAGAAAAAATATTCACGAGTATTCACGGATAAAAATTTATCGGCGGAACCGATTAAATTTGCTGCTAATCATGAGGATCCGTAGACTTGAATAAAAATTAGCGGCTCTTCAAGTAACCAATTCGAATTAGAATTTTTTGCAGACATCTAAGTGACCAATTGAGTTTTAGGATATCCGTCAATAAAAGCGACTATCTCCAAATACAATTGAATTTAGTAAGATCTGCATTTTTAAGTGTAAGCGATAAAATTCTTATCTTCCTCCGAATGACTGTATGCACGATTGAATTCGAAAGCAGCGGCAACAACCTGCGTGAGCGAATGTATTCGTGAGAATCCACGAAAATATCATATCAATCAGTACCCACTAGTATCCGCGAGAATCTACGCAAGCAATCACATTTGTCATAGACACTATTAGATTCGTAAAAGTTCGTCAAGACAATCGGATCGTATCAAATGCGGATGCGATCTGATTGATGAATATTTTACATGTCTACGAATATGATTGAATTCTAAAATATCTGAAAACGTGATTAGATTCGTGGATCATTACCAATATCTAAGAATATGATCAGATTCGTAAAGACGTCCAGATATACACCCACATACTCACTTGCGATCAGATTCACGAACATTCGCGATTATCGCGCATATTGGCGGATACGAAAATTAGGACTGTGCGAGTATCCGATTTTTCGAGTTTTACTCGACTCGAATTCGACTCGCCGAGTCGGCGAGTCGAGTTTTTTTGAATCTGTAGCGGCATTATAATGCTCTTGAAAAAAATCAAAAGACATGATCTGACTTAAAATTTTCCGCTCTTTTCGAATCTGCAATAAAAATTAGCGGTTACTGTGAAAAAAAACGATTTTTCTCAATATTTTGTTCGCTGTAGCTTTGAGGTTATGTTCAAGGTCAAATTCAAGGTCACCAATCGATTCCCCGATTTTCCGAACATCGTCCAGCACATATAAATTACATTTCATTAATTAATGTAAGATGTAAAAAAACATTTCATTCATGAAGGAAAACAACATAATAAGACTACATCGTGTACACAAAACATTATTATAGCACTGCGTGGCTAAAGTTCACGTTTAAGGCACGCTTTGCAGTGACTTAAGCTGCTCATTATTGCACGGCGGCGCTATTTTGAGCACCTTATAACTCGCCAAAGGGGGCCTAAACGTGAATTTAGCACAGTGCTATAAAAAAGTTCGCTCCGCTCGGGTGCTAACCGGACCGTGCAATAATGGCCTGCTTAAGTCACACGTATCATATTATACCATTTGAGTTCTGCCGCCTACGTTTGAGTTGGCAGCATCGGGTCAGATGATAAAACAGTGACGGCAGGTGACAGCGGCAGCCATGTTCCGGAAAGTTTTTCACAACGCTGGCTTCAGACTTCAGTGCACATCGCCTGAACAACGTATCCAAGGTTAGATTTGGGTCTTCCTTGGCCCAAAACCTCAAATACGTGAACGGGCGGTATTCACAACTTATACTGTCGATAATCATACGTAAGATTTTACACAAGTTCTACTATGAAAGTTCTTGTTAAAAACTTTGATTAAAACTTATTTAATATTTTTATTGGGAAAGATAAGTTTTTACAAAAATTTAGTAAAACGCTTACGCTAACAGCTTTATATCAGAATAAAATAGGCAATTGTAAATAATAAGATCTATAATGAAACTTGAAAAAAACAATAATAATCTAAAATTGTAAATATTCTTTATTGCTTAATATTCTTTAACATAAATGAGTTAGGTTTTTTTTTACCTGAATTTTTATATCCATTTCGTTTTCAATTATTTGGGACGTGGATTGAAACCTTCCCAATAAACTTCTTCCTTCAGCATCTGAAGTGTGAATGAAAATGATTTTCATGTAATTGAAGTATTTTAGTAGTTCAACCCATACATCAGCTTGATGCGAATATGGTGGAACTGTTCGAAGAAACGATACATGAATATTCTGCAAAAAGTATAATTATAAAAGTTAATATCTAATCAATGATTTACATAGATTTATGATATAAAACCATTATAGATGAAAAATGGGTATATTGCTTCCTCCATAGAGATAGCTATTTGACGGGTTTAAATATGAGTTTTTGAACGAGACCTCGTAGGTTAAAGAAACTAGATTGAATTCCTAACACATGTATGTTTTTTTTTAAATCTTGTATTCATACTACAAGCTGTAAAATTACAAACATATACATTAACAATATGTAGATGAAGACATCGGCGTATGCGGGCTAGGATTTACCGCAAACTGGTCCCACACCGGTACCTTCGTTAAACATAAATTCAGTGAGGATCTCAGCAAGCATCTCTGCTACGTCGTAGGATTGAATCCTATAATCTATGAGAGGCAATGGTTCATTATTGTTGCTGTTGAGAGTCTCTGCACTTCTGCATCAGTCTGGAGACGACCACGTGCGCTAATGCGGACGTCTCGTTCCAGTTTCTCGGGTCTAGAAGCATGTGCCCGACGATGTTCTCCGGCTCTATTTTCTCTACAAGTTGCATTTGCAGCCTTCTTCTTTCTTCTTTGAAACGCAGGCAGTGAAAAAACACACGCTCCACGTCTTTCACCGCTAACGATAAACTATATTCCCTGCATAAGCATACAAATCAGTTCCCGGAAAACTGTGGAGATTTTAGCGACGAGTAAGGAGAACAGTCCCATCAAGACATAATGCATATGGAGTAGCGATATCAAGGTAGATGGGATTAGCGATGATGGCTGATTACTGATGGATGTTGAAGCAAGAGAGCTAAAGTAGAGGATTTAAACGCAAACGAAAACCTTCACACCGATCGTTTGAAGAAAAAAATGTACGTTACAAAAAAAAAGGGTTAAAAGGGATGCAAAATTTAGAATACTTCATCATTTTATGCCTTTTTTTATGAATTCAACTGTTGCGTTAAAACTTCGCAAATTTTACGAAATTCGGCAATGATTTAAATAAAACAAGTTGACAATGACTTAAGAGGAAAATCAAGAAAAAACCTCTCTTTATTTAATAAGCGATGATGTGAGTGAAAAGTTAGCTCACAGCTATCAAACGACAGTAACAGTACTGGTGTATGCACACATTGGCAGAGAGAAATCGTCAAGAAGAAAGCCGCAAGAAACAAAAACGAATCATAAAAATCGATAAATCGATTAAGTGAATTTCGGAACGTGCATATGAAAGTTCGAAGCAATTCGTGAGCCGGCCGGCAGATGTATTTTACGAATCAACCCCATCTTACGCGATATTAATTAAATACCGAGCATTGCTCTTGCATCTCAGCTAGCCGTCGTTAGCTGCCTGTGAATGTGTATAAAATATATATAACAGTTTAGGACTGTACTACCTTCAAATGACCTTAATCTTGACTTTCAACAGGTCACACAAAAAATCTGAATTCGTCAGCTCCAAAAACCTATAAACAATCTTTTTCCGTTGTTTTATCGCGTTTACTAGGTTTAACCTTCAAATGACCTTTTAATGACCCTAAGTTAATCTTATAATGACCAGGTGTAGTCGAAATGAACTTTGATTGATATTTAGCGACACTCAATTGATAAATCTGAATTTTTTCGGATTATCATTGAATTCTCTACGCTTGACCTTTAAATGGCCTTGAAGGTAAGGTCGTAGAGGTCATCTGACTTCAGATTTGAGTTCAGCATCTTCGAAAACCTATGTGGGAATTGTTTCAGATTTTTCAACCTTTTTTTCATAATTTGACCTTTAAATGACCTCTAATTGACCTTAAATCGATCTGCTTATTAAAAACCGACGCCGTATTCTGATTCAAAGACCCAAAAAAATATAGTCCACAAGGTCCGGTCTCTATAACTGAACATTCTTTTTCGTGCCTGTTTATAGAGGTGTATTTCTTTTGATAACCAATAAATTAGCAGCAGTTTTTATTTTTTACGAACTTGATTCATACAAAAAAAAATTAAAAAAAAAGAGTAGTGAGCAACTTTTTTAGGCAAAATCAGAGTATGCTGATGGTTCACTTAGATGGTTCACTCAAATGACCACTTTTGGATGTGCAATAATTATTGTTTTTCCTTTTTAAATTATGATCGAACATAGAAAACAAGATGCATCGTGGACTGAAGAATTGAATTACATCCATACAAATATATTTTTAATTTTTTTTCACATGATATTTTCCAAAATGGTCATTCACCTGGTACCCGGTCATTCATTGGTCTGACTACCCTACATTGATGTGTAAATTATCAGAGATATCCATGTGAAAATACGCTTAAAATCATTTTCTTTCATGTAGAACGCAATTCACTTTAAACGCAATATAGAATATTATTTAACTAATAATTAAGTTGATTTTTTATTGAAATCAAAGCATTATTTATTTCCTTCGTCTCACGAGCACATTTAATTTTTCAAAATATTTGATTTCGATACTGTTACCTTATCAGAAAAAGCTGAGTCCCTCGATGAAATTCCAATAACTGGTATATGATAAAATCCACAGGTATATGATACAGCTGCGGGAGACAATTCTCCAGCTGAAGAATGAGAAACAATTATCGCCAAAACTTGTCTAGCTATCAGGTGTTTACAAACATTTATAGCAGTTCTTATAGGATTGGGTTCCATTTCTAAAACTACATGGCGGTAAGTTATCCCTGCACTTATGTAAGGTGAGTCAAAATTGAGGTTCTGAAATGAAAAAAGAAAGAACACGTAAAATTTAAAATTATTACAATCAAATAAAAAATTTAGAGATATTTCGAATAACTATAACTATAATTGGATGTATTTTTTTCCTAGAGTCGTGTTTTTCTTTCACAAAAAATTGCAAATATTAAAATGATATATTCTCCTCTGGGACACGAAAAACAAAATAGAGGTTTGTAAGCAGCCGATGCAAAGCTTGGTACTAGCATGTACTGAGGCTTTCTCTTTACTCAGTCTAGACCAGTAAGATATTTTTCATCCCCGAGTACCGAAAATAGTGGTTTTTCTTTTGGTGTTGCAACTAGGAAATGTGACTTTCGAGTCACTCGCATGAAAACGCGCAATGCGCTCATTGCTGTGAGAATAAAATTCATTCAGATTTCTTTCAGTGGGAGCAGAATGTTACTTTTGATTGGTATCACAAAAAATGTATACAGCTTCGTATTTATTGAATAACATTATTTTGTCCCTCAGAACGTGCGTTTATGAAGAAAAAAGTTTTTAGAAGACATTATTAGATAAGAGCCTAATAGATATGGTCTCGGTTTGTTTAATGGCGCAGTGAATGCCTCGGCCACTGCGCTTACTACTCCACCATCAAACAAGTTCCTCGATTGTATCTACTCGGCTTCTGATCCTTGGTCAGCGTTATGAAGAGGTTGCTGTAACGTAGCCGCCGGTGGCAGCGTCGTCTGCCACATGGGGGCGCGTTGTAATTTCTTCATCGACCAACTTGCTGAGCTGCCAACTTATGAGCTACGCTGCAATTGAATTTGATGCCGGGACGTATAAAACATGTTCCTACGCTGACAACACAGTGGAAAGAGAAAAATAAAATAATTGAAAATAATTAATCTCGTATCAATTTATTTTTTCATATAACAACAAATAAGCATCTCTAGCTATAAATTAAGTAAATTCTTTGAAGTCTATGACTTTGTAGACATCGTCTTTAAATGATATCAAGTATCGTTTGTTTTACATAGGCTGATTTACATTTGCTCATTATAAAATACCAATATTTCAAAGAAAGGTTTGTAAGGAAGTAGTCCAGCACAGGGTCCGACGGTACTCCTTCCTTTGTTTTATATCCTAGAAATCCTTCCGCCCGAGAGAGAGATCGGAAATAAGCGAGCCTAATGATAGTGCGGATCGGCGCCAATTTATCGATAAGCGCCGAATTTGCAGAGAGAGAGAGAGAGAGAGAGAGCCGTGATCAACGCTAAGTGCGTAGACGGGTCTTGCGCGTGCTGCCTTATGAGCAGACGAAAACCTGTCAAGTGGAAAGGGAGGCCTATGCTGACTGACGAGCCGATGAGGAGTTGATGTAGCGAACACTCTGTGTTGGACCTCGCGTGAAATAGCTTCGAGCTACCAACCCCTCTCGTGTGGGACCTGCGATGGCCAGCGTGTGTGAGAGTGAGTCTGCCGTCCTGGAGAGCATCAACCTCTGGCTGCCTTCTCGTCTGCCCCCGCTATTTTTGCAGTCTTCGTCAGGCCCAATCACCCACCAATAACCGTGTAGTCAACGAATGTAAGTCTCTCGATTCTCTCCTACATATGCGCCATATTATTATATCTTTCAACACGCTCGATCTCTCTTGGTCTTGTCCCCGCCTAGCCCAAACTCACGACCGTCGTATCTACCGAAATAGCCGTGGTGGCCTTATGCCGTTAACGAATTGTACGGGTGAATGTTTCGTGTCGAGCGAACAATTATCGCACATCATTTGTAATTCTTAGCTTTCTTGTATTTTGTATCATTAGGCGTCACTATCGTGACTGGCGCCCTTCTTAATAAATAAGCCTAATTATTATTTATACATTACATGATCGCGTAGATTCTTTTTGGCACACCTTTTCTTCGTTCCCCGTTTACAGGTCAACGGACATCTCGCCGGACAATTTACTTGCCTCCCGAGGGTAAACTGTTACAGGTTGCTGATAAGTATGTGTTTAAAAACCATACGGTTTGGCTGCCGTGCAAAGTTGTACGGCAGCCCATATATATTTTTCTTAATTTCTCTTGTTCAGACCTGTAACAAAGAACACCGGACCGAGTTTGATTTTGCAAAAGCGAGCTGTAAACATAGCAAATCATTGGCTCTGCATATGTTAGCTTGTTAGTATTTTTTATGACCGCCTATGTTACACTCACAAGCAGCCTTCATTACGCTTTGTTTTTGTTTTCGTGCACTTGCAGAATTGAACTCGAAGCAAAGAGCATATTTTACGCGTGATTTTTTATTGCTCATTTGTTTCAAAAAAAGGAATTTTGTTTCTTTTTAAAAATGAGAATAATCAATCGGATACCGTTTTTACATTGAAAAGTGTAGTAAGTAACAATTAATTAAGGACATTATACAGCTTATGTAAAAAAATACTTGCTACCATATTAATGACGATATTTTCGAAGTCGTAGACTTCGAAAAATTTATTACATTAATAGCTGATGATGCTTATTTGTTGTTAAATGAAAAAATAAATTAATACACTGTTAATTATTTTTAGTTACTTGATTTTTCTCTCTCCACTGTCTTGTCAGCATAGGAACATGTTTATATACGTCCCGGCATCAAATTGAATTGCCGCGTAGCTCATAAGTTGGCAGCAGCGAGTTGGCCGATAAAGAAGTTACACCGCGCCCCCGTGTGGCAGACGATGCTGCCACTGGTGGCCATGTTACAGCAAAAAATCAATGTTTAAACACAAAAAATGTCGGTCAGAACACAAAAAAAATTAATGAAAACTTCTAGAATTTTTCTCAAAAACGAAGGGCTTGAAAAAAGTGTATTTTTTAACTTTATTTTCTTCAAACGAAACCCTGCTAACTTTCAGTTTAGGTATCGAGGACACGATATGCCTCGGACGATTCACGTGAAGGTCGCTGTACAGCGGATTCGCTCGGCTCGCTTCCTTCCAAGCAGCTCGCGAATCGCCTCGTCACGTCGCAATTCTTCACTAGTCACATTGAACTCCAGGCTTGAACACAGCCTCTCCACGGACACGACACTACGACCTTCTGCTACACACAAAGCTTCCAAACGAACAACTTAACTCAACCGCTGCCACACAGCTTCCCCACGAACAGCCACTATCAATATCTGCTGCCACACAGCTTCTCTACGACTATCACTAACGTAGAAGGCCAACGCTGCCTCTCTCACTCGCGACTTCCTACTTTCTACCACACGTCCTTACTCTCTCGCGGTCCGAATGCGAATCTTTTGTGTATGTGCACTATCGCGCAGATCCACTAGCGCGTCTTCGAGCGCGAGGCGCTCGATTCGCACAGATCGATCTGCTCTCCAGTGCACATGGTCCGAGCAACACGTCCGAGGTTAACTTGGCTCTTCCTTTGCCCTGAACTCCAAACGCGCGCTCGAGTGATACATGTGTTTGATCAAATTAAATGGTGGAACATGCATAACACAAAAAAGTTCCTGGGCACTTTTACTTTTGAATCATTCTACACTGATCCAGGAATTATTTGAATATTTGTGATTTTTCATGAATTTCCAAAAAACGCTAAAATGGCCAACTTTGGGCCTCTGAAAAAGTGTCATAGAAGGCCCCAATTTTTCTAAAAATTTTTTTTTAACAAATCTGACATCAAATACAAGTTTTTCATATTTGCAGAAAAAAAAATTTTTTGGCCATTCGACTTCACAGAGAATCGGCCATATATTCAGAAAATATTTGTAAAATATTTGAATTTTAATTATGAAATAATGTGAAGAAAATGCTCCCTTGGGCCATTTTTTTGACAAAATAAGTCTAGTGTTAGGTACTTCATATAAAAAGTAATATTCCGGAAAACTTTTTCTGTCTTGTGACTTTTTCTGTTAAAAAATTTAGGCATTATTGGAAAATAGGTGATGTTATATCTGAAAATCAAAATTTTTTCCTAATATCTTTTGAAAACTATTGTTTTTTTTAGTTTTTAGGTGGGTTTTTTGGTCCCTCTTAATAAACTATACCAATTAACATTTTGAGGAAAAAAGGCAAATGAGCTATTATTTTTGAGTTGGAAGCTACTTGCTAATGAATTTGCGATCTTAAAACAGTAGATTCTTCGTTATTATTCATAGTAATATTAGATAACATGAATTAATGTTGTTTTGCATTTTTTAATTAATGATAAGAGAATGATTATGATTTATGGTATTAAAAATCAGCATTTATAAGTCTTATTGCATGCTTTTTCAGTTAACATCACTTGATATCATTATGGGTCAAATGACATTTTTATGAAATATTATACTGAATTTTGAAAACATTATTTGCAAACTAGAAATCTTTCTTAGAACCCATGTCATTTTTATTTATGTATAGTGTATAGGGATTGAACTAAATCCAAGAAAATAATGGTTTTTTAAGAAAGCTGCTGAAAAGTATTTATAGATTAGTGAATTTACATCTCAACAGTTTTCATTATAATTAATAAGCTAGCAATAACTTTCTTATTCATACAAACATTACAATTCAAATCATACATGTTTTTACATAACCGTACCATCAATGAAAAGATTCAGTGACATCAGGAAAAGTAATTTTTACTATTTTAGTCCAGTGAAAACTTACATGAAATTGCATTTTTTTGGGGAGAGATGAAACCTAGTCTACTTTATGTTTTTGGGTGCGCTTAATTCATTGCCGATGTTATTTTTTACCTAAAACATCAGCGTCAGGGTGAAAATCGAGGGTGAAAGAGTTTTTGGGTGATATCTCGCGAACGAAGCAAGATACAGAAAAACTAATTGTACCAATCGATTCCTCGTGAAATTTTACATCGAAATACACTTTAAACTTTTCAAGTGTCAGTGCAAAATTGTTCACAATATTGAAAAATTAGTTTACAGCGGTCGGCGGTAGTGGGAGCCGGCAGCGAACGGGAAGCGACATATATAGATACACTAGCGCGGCGCCGCCGGCCCCCACTACCGCCGACCGCTGTAAACTAATTTTTCAATATTGTGAACAATTTTGCACTGACACTTGAAAAGTTTAAAGTGTATTTCGATGTAAAATTTCACGAGGAATCGATTGGTGCAATTAGTTTTTCTGTATCTTGCTTCGTTCGCGAGATATCAGCCAAAAACTCTTTCACCCTCGATTTTCACCTTGACGCTGATGTTTTAGGTAAAAAATAACATCGGCAATGAATTAAGCGCACCCAAAAACATAAAGTAGACTAGGTTTCATCTCTCCCCAAAAAAATGCAATTTCATGTAAGTTTTCACTGGACTAATTTACTTCATTTTTTTGCAACGTTTTTCAACTTTTATTATTAATCAAACAGTCCTTTTGAAATGCAAGTTATATGTACAAAAAATACGTAATCATTAAATTACATGTTACACACGTTATAATTAAGATTGATACAATTTAAAAAAATTTAGGTAATTAAATTTAGACATTTCTTGCGCTCATTCTGTTTTAGTGTCTGATTATACCGTTTTTATTCCATCAACTCCTTGCTGTATCTCTTGGACTCTCTCATAAGATCTAATTTCTTGGACGAATTTCTCGTCCTCATTCACTATGGAATTTGTGTATTCGAACCTGCTGCCTTGGAACCAACCCAAATTATCGATAACGACATGATTAACTTTGCAGCTCTTACATCGAATCATGAAGATGCTCCTCTCGTCGTACTCTGTCTGAGTAATGGTTGTGTGATCGCGTGTACGACACTTCTTGCACGTGTAGACTAATATTAGTTTCTTATCCTTTTTTTTCCACGATCTTTTACCTTCCTTCGTGTTGTCACGTACCACGGAGCGATACGCGATCAAGGATGATTTGTTGTTGTATAAAAAAATAAATCTAATAATAAATCTTATAATAAATTTGAGGATGCGATTATCGAATCGAATATCAAATATCGAATGATGAGTCGCGCGAAGCGCGCTGAATGTCTCTATGAATTGAAGTATGTATATCGATATCAAATCATAATCGAAATGTATAATTGGAACAGAGCAGATTAAAAATATTGTTAATACACTCGGCAACAAAATTATCGCAACAAAAAAATTCATCGAAATTCTGTGGATTTTCAAATGCTTCTATCTTGGGCTAGATTTATCGTATCGACACGGTTTTTTTTTCTTGGAAATTTTTTCCTCTTTAAATCCATATATGGGTCAAAATAATACTTTTTTACAAAACCGTGCGCACGTATGTAACCGATCTTGACGCGCTTTTGGTATGTTATAGTACATGGTAAAAAGGTCCCAAAAAAAAATTTTTAGACCCCCTCCCCCCTCCTACCCCCCACTTCCGGTATAAACGTCCATTTTCAATCTATATTTTTTCTGAGGACATGAAGCAATTAAAAAATCTGAAAAAATTCACAAAAATACTTTTCAACAATCCAAACAACCTTGAATTTTTTCAGATTTTTTAAGTGCTTCAGGCCTTCAGATAAAATCATTGAAAATTTTAAAAATCGAGATACGGCGGGATGAGCCGATGTAGTAAACGGAAATTTTTTCAGTTTTTTATTGCATTGTAAAATATAACCTCAATTTTTTTCAGATTTTTTCAGATGACCTAACGCACCTTTTGAAGCCAAAAACCGCTTTTTTTGACGAAAATAATTTTTTTAGGACGGTACGGAGCCTCGAAAAATATGGAAAAATTTTTTTCTCGTTTTTTTCATCAAAATACATAACCTCAAATTTTTTCAGATTTTTTAATTGAAGGCGATAGCTTCTAGGGCCGAAAAATGCTATTTTTAACAAAAAATGGTTCCTAGAACCCGATGGTTCCGGTGAAAAAATTTGAAAATATTTTTTTTGAATTCCTTGTCAAATTTTAATAAATTTTGACCGTTTCAAAAGTTCGATTGAAGCTTCCTAGCTCATTTTAGAGCATCAAACGAGTTTTATCATTCCTTAATGTCTTCAGAAACGTCTTCAGATATTTTGCACTAATCTTTGTCCTGCTCTAAAATGAGCTAGGAAGCTTCAATCGAACTTTTGAAACGGTCAAAATTTATTAAAATTTGACAAGGAATTCAAAAAAAATATTTTCAAATTTTTTCACCGGAACCATCGGGTTCTAGGAACCATTTTTTGTTAAAAATAGCATTTTTCGGCCCTAGAAGCTATCGCCTTCAATTAAAAAATCTGAAAAAATTTGAGATTACGTATTTTGATGAAAAAAACAAGAAAAAATTTTTTTCAGATTTTTCGAGGCTCCGTACTGTCCTAAAAAAATTATTTTCGTCAAAAAAATCGGTTTTTGGCTTCAAAAGGTGCGTTAGGTAATCTGAAAAAATCTGAAAAAAATTGAGGTTATGTTTTTTAATGCGAAAAATAACTGAAAAAATTTCCGAGTACTACATCGGCTCATACCGCCGTATCTCGATTTTTGAAATTTTCAATGATTTTATCTGAAGGCCTGAAGCACTCAAAAAATCTGAAAAAATTCAAGGTTGTTTGGATTGTGGAAAAGTATTTTTATGAATTTTTTCAGATTTTTTACTTGCTTCATGTCCTCAGAAAAAATATAGATCGAAAATGGACGTTTATACCGGAAGTGGGGGGTAGGAGGGGGGAGGGGGTCTAAAAATTTTTTTTTGGGACCTTTTTACCATGTACTATAACATACCAAAAGCGCGTCAAGATCAGTGACATACGTGCGCACGGTTTTGTAAAAAAGTATTATTTTGACCCATATATATATCTGTGGTGGAAAGGCATAACGACTTAAGTCCATTTTTTTGGAAATCGATATTATGATGAAAAACACCTATATTTAGTGTCTACTTTGATGTACAAGGGTCAGAATAGATGAATATAGCGTCCATCGTTAGTTGCAACATCGTGCATAACGACTTAAGTCCATTTCGCGAAGACCGGGGAAAGGCAAAACGACTTAAGTCCACCTTTGCGAGCTTCAAAATGCTATAGAGAGTCTACTTTGATTTGAAAATGAAAGAAAATGATACTCGTACATAAAAATAACTCTCACACTCTTCGAATGTTGTGAATTTCACTAAACGATTGGTACAGTTAATACGCGAGGGGCCGTTTTCGCGATTTTCAGTTTGGCCTTTTTTCGTTGCAAGATTTGAGATCTGACACCAGTATAACGTTAAATGAGCAATTTTATCAATGTGAATTCATTAAATGAGGTTATGATGACAAAATGCGCGAAATAATCGATATTGAAAAAAGTGTGACCGACAAAAGTGGACTTAAGTGCAAACCGTGGAAAGGCAAAACAACTTAAGTCCATATTTTTTGCTCGGTATCATCGCTATGATGCGCCTTTCAATTTCATAAGTACATAGTTGAAAAGCTACCTCATAGTAGCTTAAAACACCATAGGTTCAGATCTCGACTCGTCCGCGTTTAGTTAGGCTGGCACAATCAACTTAAAACGCGTTTTTGTCGAAAATACGAAAAATGGACTTAAGTCGTTATGCCTTTCCACCACAAATATATATTAAGATAAGATTCGAGTTAATGCCGAGTTACCAGTAGTATTTGAGCGCGACACTAAAAATTACTGAAAAAATTGACTATTTGAACGTGTACCAGTACCACAGTAATTTTTCTGTCGAAATCTAACATACACCATCGCAAAGTACTCCTTTCAACGAGTAATTTAAAAAAAAAGACATCTCTACGATTTTTTTAACTCCCTGTAGGTCGTTTGCCACGTCCCTGTAGGACGCGGAGAAACTTATCTGATGCATCGTGTAAACGACAAAGCTGTCCAGATGGTAATTCGAGGTTCGAGATGGACGCGGGGAAATCCACTCTTGCAGGAAGCTTAACTGACTAAATTTCACGGACAAACGAATCTTTAAAAAAATTTCAAAAATTGTTTTATTATCGATTTATTTAGAAACATTTCTTCGTACTATCAAGTACAAATCCTGCAGGGGACATGAGCCCGTGCGCAGAATGGCACTTACAAAGAGAATTATCTAAAGACATCTGGTTCTATAACTGGTTTTCAAGCCTATCAGAGTTTTTTTAAGAAGGAAACGAAACTTAAATTATAGCTATATCTCGGTAAAGATTCAAAATTGTTTAATTATGTCAAATGACTCAATAAGGAAAAAAATAATTTCTAAAATTACTGAATACATTATTTTCTTCTATTTTTAGAAACATTGAAGCCCTAAAAAAACTTACGTCAACAGTCTCGTTAAAATACGCTTCAAACTCCTTATTTGATAGCATTCCTCCAATGTTGATAGATTGTAACAATAAATTATACTGTGATGGTTTGCTACAGTAATTATATATAACTAGTTCCACTTGAATAAGAAATATCATGTAAACGTGACGGACCTTCATTTTCCTTATTTTTCATAAATTCCTGAAAAGTTGAAAGACATTACATATATACATATTTACTACAGTATTACTACAGTATTTACTGTTGATTTAATTCTAATAAAAATTAGTATATATTTTTTGAAAGTACAGTTTCTGAGGATTATTTGATGATGATTTGAATAAAAAAGCTCGACTGGCCTATCAGGAATTAGAATTTGAAAATTAATAATAGCATGAGTTGACTTTCAAATCACATAAAAAACGCCATAAAATGCAATATAAGAAAAGAAAAAGTTGAAAATTTAACATGAATAGTGCCAGGAATGGTCATTTTTGAAATTTCACACAAATATAGAGGAGTTGACACAAATATTGAAATTTCACGAGATTTAGTCGTAAAAGATGTCAGATCTGACATCAGATCTAATGTCAGATCTGAAATCACTATATCGCTCCTAATTGTTTAAACAATAAATTTATTAATAATTAAAATTTTATAATAAAATTAGTTGTATTTTAATAATATCGATATCCTCTATTTCTCTAGCTTCGTACCGATCTAATTGTCCGTCTGCACCAAAACATTTTGTTATTTCATTAGTGATACTTATTGTAGATTGATAAATAGGCTTCGACTTGAAAAATTAAAGCCACGATTTGAAAAACGAAGGTAAGTAAGCAACAACTTACTGTTATGCCTGATTATTTTTTTGTTTCAAAAGCTTAATCACTACTTAGAAAGGAGTTGCCAAGTCGTGCGACTTCATCGTCACTTCCTGATCGATTTTGTCAATAGATTTCCATTGATCCATTTAATTGCACAGCGTTTTTATGGATAATTAAAAGATGTATGAATTAACGGATTAAATTTAGTTTGTTACAGAGCAGAATATCGGTTGACATCTCGCAATTATCTGATGACTACGAACATTTTCTTTGCATTGTAAAGAATATTGAAACAGTAATATAATAATAAAACTTAGTCGTAAACTACATAAGTGATTGCTCTATATATTTAATTACACTGACATTGACCGATTTATTTTCATTTTCAAATATAAAAAAATGCATAGACTAACATTTCTACAAATTATAGACTCGGAAAATGTGTACATTTTTTCGTGCTGAATTTAAATTATTTGAATGTAAAGTTTTGGTTTTGGAATTTGTTTTTTTAATCACAGAAGTAACACTTATGAACGATGAACCATTTAGCGACCTGTCATTTTATCTAAATTTCGTCGTAAGTTCGAAGTCAAAATCTTACGTAAAATATGAAATTTTCAAGTATGACATAGTAACATTGCAAACAAAACAAATGATACTATTGTGATAGATTCTGAGAAGTGATTGACATGCTTTGAAATTCTCTATGTCAGGAGTAATGCAAGAAGTCTCAAATACAACGTAATAAATTCCTTTAATAATAAAAATCCTTCAAACGGGGGTCGTTTTTTCATGTTTTACAAAAAAAAAATTGGCCACGGTAAAATTTTCAAAGATATTTTCAAGTCAATATAAAATGTTTCAATCGACCTAAATTTTTACCCAAAAGATCAAATTCTTTTTTTAGGTTCGTATCAATATTCAGCTAAGACGTTGCACGCAAAGAAGTAAGTAAAATAATATTTTTACTATATTTTTGGTTTTGTAGTTACTATGAAGAAAATCGAATACTTTTAAAAATACTTTTATACACTTTCATAAACTTAAATAAAAATTCGAAATTTGAACTCATATAAAATTATATAAAATGTTATTAAAAAGCATAATGTTTCGATTTTATTTGCTTGACGCGACATAATTAACTATGATGAATTTATTTTTCTAACTTAAAACTAGCTAAAATTTCCAGATTAAAATTTAAAAAATTGTTTAAACTAAAAAAACAAATGTTATAAACTTATTAAATATTTCTCAAACAGAAGTGAAAGACTGAATTTTGGGCACACAACTTTCGTAGCGGTAAGAAAATATTTTTCTTGTTCTTTTAAATAAGGTAAAACATTAAACGCGTGGAATTATTGTTCATATTAATATTGATATATGATTACATTCTGCATCATTGGGTATTGACTTTTATAATGTATATCAATAAAAAGTGTAACCCTTATAAAAGTACTTGTAGTAATTACTTACGCATTTTATACTTTAAAAAATTCTGGTCGCTTCCAAAAATCTCGGAAGGAAATTAAGTCCGAAAAAATCTTAAATCCCCAACAATTGCATTTTTTAATTTCTTCATTATTCTTTAAAAAGTAACACATACTATCATCATTTGATCATATTCCCGAAAACTGCGCAACACGAGCACACCTACTACTATGTGATTAACATCAAAACGTCAATTTACTTAAAGTTTAAATAAAAAAGCAAATACTCGAAAGAAAGTTTACTTTAATGAATTTAAGTATCTACAATTTGTTTATTGTAATTTTAGAACTCAAATTGGAGAGATACATTATAATTATATTAAAATACTAATAATATTTTCAATTCTTTAGTTACTTATAGGGATATTTCAGTCTTCTTTCTTATTTCAAATTTTTCATTTAGGATCAAGACGATTTTATTATTAACCGCTTTTTAAAATACCTTTCTTCTATGCGATTTTAAGGGCGCTGTATTCGGACTGATTATTGCTGTATTACTATTTAAAACGTGGATAATATTATTTGAATTGAAACAATGTGGGTATGTTACAGAGTGTATATATCAGGAAATTTTATTTCGTTGTCAATCCGGGCAAAGAGCTGTAGCTAGACAGTAGGTGCATGATGGGTTATTTCTGAATTATTATTTTTCAACGAGTTCACAGTTTTTAAAGCATATGGTTATTTTAGTAATATCCATGACCTACTGCACGGACTAAATAATTTCATTTACGAAAACGGCCCCATAGGATTACTGAAAAAATTTTAGTTAACGTGGATATTAGACAAGACAAAATATCATGTTCAACAAATAACAGGCCTCAGTTTGTTACTGAACCCACTTTTTTCTGAGACTATAATTTATTTTGTAAACAATTCGAAAGTCTTAATTCTGGCAATCCACAAAAAAAGAATCACGTCGAGTGACGGAAGGAAGCGTATTACCGCAAAAATTAGGAAGAAGCTTACAAGATATCAATGATATTTATTATTCACTTGAGGCTGTTTAATGGTGATCTTAAAAAAAGTGAGAATTTTGTGAAACTTTGCACATACGTTTGTGATATCACAAAGATAGCACCCATAAATGTTTAGATCGATTAGGAGCTTTGTTTCGAAATTTTTTCATTAAGTCGATCCTAGTCGAGAAAAAAAATCACGAATATTTATAGTAAATTTGGTTAATCTCTTCAGGAAAGAGCTAAACAGTGTCTTATCGTAAAAATGCAATTGTTTTCGAAAGTTTAGAACTTTTTTTAATGAAAAAAAATTTTTTCAGATTTTTTTTCAAAAAACTGTTGCAAAGCAGAATTACACTGAAAAAACAACCACTGTACTGAGCACTGAACTGCTCAGTAGTGGCTACCAAAGCGGATCAGTACTCGACTATGCAGTAGCGCTTACTGGTCCGGCTCAGTAATGTCTACTGAATCTTTGACTAGCAGACGCTTACTGATACCTTGTTCAGTCCGCTCTACTGAAAGATTTGGTAGTGGCTACCAAGTCGCTGCGTTGGCTTGTTTACTGAGTCGGCTTCAGTACTCAGAACAGTGGTCGTTTTTTCAGTGTAATATCACTTTTACATCTTTTGGGTACACTGTGCGCTGCTTCGCTCAGTGTGCGAAGAGAGAGATTACTTTTTAATTCGAACAGATACTTACAATCGGCGGTCAGCCTATCGGGATGGCTCGCTTGGCACCCTCGTGACGTAAGGCACTTTCACCCACGCACAAATCACCGTGACTCGACTTAGCAGATGTAGTTTGTAATCGCGAAGTTACAATTAACTAATAAGGCAAGCGTATGTCTATTAACGTGGCAAGCGGTATCAAAGCCCGCAACAGTCTCGGCTCGCGGGCCTATAAATCATAAGCGCGAGCCCCGAAAGTCTCTCTCTCCTCTCTCGTCGCACACCAAAGGCGCCGCGACTCGTCGGCCGACGATCCGTCGTGCTGAAATAGAATTACATAACATTTATAATTATTAAATTTAATAACAATTGCCGGGAGAGAGTCTAACGAATAATATATTCGTTACAGCTGAATGAGTGGTTAGGGGTTTGCCCTGTTATCAAGGAAGATTAAAGATCACATGATATATGAAATAAAGTTATTCATCTCCTAAAACTGATATTAGTCCAGTCAAATTAAACTCACTCAATGCTATTTTTGGAAAAAAATTAGTGACAGGACACGATAAAATGAAAAACAAACGATGTCATTCGTAATTATTTTTGACGGCAGCCCAAATTTTAAAAAGATCGTCTCAATCGGTTGAGAAATGACCGAGATACGTCAATTTTTTTTTCTTAATTACATTTGAACTCTCGGACTTGAACGTCGGGACGCCAGCGAGCGAGACGGAACTTCCATCACTCGACAACGTAGAAATTGCGGTTTTGACTTTGTACGGTTTTATTATTGTCAAGATTTCAAGAAATTAAAATTATCAAAATGTCACTGTAAAATATAAGTATTTAAGAATGTTACCACGTTGCTTTGATTCATTAATTGTCAATAACAACGAAGCAATGATTGAAAAAAAAACCATGTCCGTTAGGAAAGCACTTAAGCAAGTTTTCTTTTTTTTTTAAATCTGCGTTTCAATGACAGCTATTGCAATTGAAAAAATGGCCACTTTAGAGAGTTTTTTTGCATTTTTCTCGGTAAGTAATTAACGTAATTGATCGTGGTTGGGCTCAATTAAAAGGTCTAATCAATCGCTACAATTTTTATTCAAACTTTTTTTCAATTGCTTTCCATGGAAAAGCTACAGAGGCGAAAATGAGATTTTACTACCCTTCTAACCTTCCCCCTACCCTAAAGACAACTCAAAAAGTTACGCAGCTAAGGGTACTTGTCGTCCCCATCAAGATTAATATATCCCACATGGTCCGATCCTGTCATTAATTTTTACTAGAAAATTTTTAATTTGACTGGACTATATCTAGATAATGTAGTGCTAGGAGATTATTGAACTCGGGCTGATGCTGAGGAACGTAGCGTCCTGAGCCTCATATCTCGAGCCCCTGTTGGCCTTACGGTGAACATGGGGCTAGGTAATTTTGGTGGTGGGGGACAATTATCGAAGGATGAAGATCCAAGGATGAAAACTGCCCCTGAACTCCTATTCACCACTTAGTGAATAGGAACAAGAGAGGTGTTAAATGAGGATGATGAGGAGGAGTTTCAAAAAACACGTAAAACAATACTTAAAACACAGAAAAACGTAAGGAATTCGGTATTGAATAATTGAGGAGGTGCGTAAGAGTGCTAAATAAAGTCTAAATGAGGATAAAAAATGATTTTTTCCTTACAGCTATATATAGGTAGAAATTATATTATACCTTGAAGAAAATTGGTATAATAGAAAATTAAATAGACCTATTGCAAAGAAGAAAAGAAAACAACCATCCAAAAAAAAACTCTCAGTGAATTGTTTTTACATGAATTTTATGTCTAAGATCAAATTAAATAAATATGCAAAATTATTTTAAATAAGTACCTACGGTAACTTATAACAAAGTAAAGATATACACGAAATAATCGATTCAGCAAAAATTCCCACGGAATTTAAACCAGTTAAAAGAAAAAATTGCGATCGAACGAATTTGACTTGTTTCTTTTATTTTATAAGTGAAAAGGTTCAATGGTCTGACAGGGCGTCTACGAAAGGTTTTTACGAGATGTCCCAAATAAATTAATTTTAAAAAACCTATAAGGAAACTCTGGAAATATCTTGCTGAGGAATATTTTATTAAAAATTATTACCATAATATTATTTATTCAAGGATTTATTTACATAAAAAAAGAAATGACTATAAACTTTTTACCGTCTAACATTTACATTGTGTAATAAACGTAGATTAAATTCCTATGTTAGAAATTCACCATGTTTACACTGCTTATTTATCAGGAAACCTGAAGTGTTGTATTTCTTGGCAGGCATTTAATATTTTGACCTGGAAATAAGAAAAGAAAATTAGCTTTGATAAGAATTTGAAGATTTCAAACATAAATCTATAATATAATTACAATTAATTCTTTAAAAATATAAATAAAAATGTTATTCAATTCAATGCAGTATAAAGGGTTATTTCATTTAGTAGTAGCTAGAGTTTTCGTCAGTTCTTCTCTATGGTTTGTATACTTTTGGATTTTCACAACGGAATTTGATGGTATTTTTGGCCAACCTACATGATTTTGGGCATACTGACAAGGTGACCACATGAGATGCGGGTCATCAAATGTCCTGAAAATTTTTTTCTGGTCTCTTGGTATCTTATAATGAAGCCCTCTGTTTCTTTTGATCCAATGGGACTTAGGGCCCATTTTGAAAATCATTCTCTAATTTATTAAAAAATATTTGTGATTTTCTAACTGTAACAGGACGTTTTAAGCGAAAAATGGCCACGTGCACAAATCTTAAAATAAGTCAAAGAATACGTCTGAATTTTTTCAGAATTTTTAAGACTTGCTACCACCTATTTTCGAAGGCCCAAATTTGACGCGTTTTTACGTTTTTCTTAAGAATTTCAGAGACTTCTGAAAATAGGTGGTAGCAGGTCTCAAAAATTCTGAAAAAATTCAGACGTATTCTTTGACTTATTTTAAGATTTGTGCACTTGGCAATTTTTCGCTTAAAACTTCCTGTTACGAGTTAGAAAACCACAAAGATTTTTTAATAAATTAGAAAATGATTTTTAAAATGGGCCCTAAGGCCCATTGGATTAAACTAAACATAGAGGGCTTCATTATAAGGTACCAAGAGACCAGAAAAAATTTTTCAGGACATTTGGTGACCCGCATCTCATGTGGTCTTCTTGTGAGTAGGGTATCACAATATTGTATAAAGTCGTCATATGACGGACCAAATATTGTTTTCTTCTTATTATTTATCGTCTTTTGCACTATTACTCTACTAAACTATACTATACTATAATATACTACATTTTTATTATGTTCTGTATAATATTGAACAAGTTAGTTTAAGTTTTAATACAAAGTCTTTATTAATTATAGGTTACAAAGAATGAGATGACAGGCAGTATACACGGTACAAGGGCTCGTGCGGTTCTGACGAGATCCGACCTGCGTCACTCACGTGTCTCAGCGCCTCTCCGCCGCCTGTCGTCGATGCCCTCTAACGGGCATAGCTTAATATAATTTCTTACGAATACAACAATTTTATAAACTAGTGGCAACATTTGTTGCTAAAGCTGAAAAGTTTGAAGCCGCTTTAAACAGCTTTTAATTTGGAAGTAATTTTTGAGTAACTTTTGATTCGAGTCGAAATAGGATAAAGTGACATTTGGGGGTAAAATAACAACTTTTATAAAGCCTGACTGAAAAAATGATGCACAGAAAGAGCGTTTATAAGTTATTAATTTTAAAAAAATGCGTTGAAGAATCGTTACGTTCAGAGCGATCCATTCAAGTTACACTTCCTTAAAAAATAAATAATTACTATCTTAAGCGTAGTAATCGAATTTATATATAACTTGCTATTGGTAAATTTATAAATAATTAATCGTCATGAGAAAAAATAATATGCTTGATTATGGTGTAAATTCAAATTGGAAATTAACAAAATGCAATGTGAAGAAAAAAATCTATTTCAAAACTAAATAAAATCCAATTTGAGGGTTCCAAATTATAAATCGTACATTCTGGTACCGCGGAGTGAGGTTAGCGCGAGTGCGATAGGCTCGACGTGGTGTCAGAATGTGCGACTTATGCCACAGAAAAGCGTGCCTTAAATGTGAACTTAAGACACGCAGTGCTATAATAGTAATTTTCGATACAAGTGCCATAAGTAACACTTTTTGGCACGGCGTAGTTTAGGGCCCGAGCGCAGCGAGGGTCCTAATAGCTGGGCCGAAAAGTGTCCCCTATGGCCCGAGTATCGAACAACGTTTTATAGTACTGTGCAAAGTTCACATTTATGCCCCCTTTTCCGATGCATAAGTCGCACTTTCTGGTAGCGCGAAGTGAGGTTAGCGCACGAGCGTATGCGAGTGTGATGCGAACGCAGCGGTGCCAGAATGTGCGACTTATGCCACCGAAAAGCGTGCCATAGATGTGAACTTATGCCACGCAGTGCTATAAATTACTATTTCATGCTACCCCAACCGAAACTAACCTTTTTCGTCCCTGCGGCCAAAACGAAAAAGTTAATTTTTGCTGGGGGATTCATGAAAAATAGTATACGCACCTATGAAGCGAAAAAAGAAAGCCTCAGAGCACATGTTTATCAACCTCGGCCTTCGCCTCGGCCGATAATTATACATACTCTGAGGCTTTCCAGTTTTTCGCTCCCTAGGCACGTAATATACTAATAATGAATTTAAAAAAGCTTACCGGAAAAGCTGTATTTAAGTGAGAAATCAATACTTTGCAGTTTCAAAAAGTTCAATTTAAAGGGAAAGAAAAACTTTTCCTACTTTTGAATAAAATTTTTTATACCCTGTTGCTCGAAAATAGTTCTTCCCGTTTTGTGCAGCGGCTGTGAAGTAGTCACTTTCGGGCCACTGGTATAAAAAATAGCATACCGGCCTATAATGGAAAGAAAGCCCCAGTGCACATGCTAATCGACCTCGGTCGCTTATTTCACGTGCCCTGGAATTTTTCTGTTTTTCTCGGCCTAGGGCAGTAATATTCTATTTTCGATTTTCATAAAGTTCATGTATTTTGACATTGCAAAATATGCAAACAATTTACTATACTTACATCTATTTTATATTAAGTAAAGCATACTAATAATTTACTTGCCTGTTCTCTGATGTATGCTACAAGATTTTCTATTTCAGAGGCATTTCGAGGTGTACTTTGAAAAAACCGAAACCATAAATGATTGGCCAACTTGACATCATTTGATTGAATAGCTTCGTCATAACTTATAAGAGAAGCATTGAATTGTTCTGACAACTCTTTAATTTGATATTTCAATACTGAAGTATTTACACCCTAAACATAAATAATAACGTTAAAGAAAATTAACACAACATACATGGTCAATTTTTTAGAAGCTCAACGACATATCTATACATGAATCAGATTCAGAATTTTTTAAATAAACCTGTGGACGAGATCCACGGATTTTCCTGAAATATTGCAATGTTATAGTGCATTGTAAAAGGGTCACAAAATTAAAATTTTAGACCTCCTCCTCCCTCCTACCCCCCGCTGTAAACATCTATTTTCTATTTATATTTATTCTGGAGCCCTGAAGTAAATAAAAAATCTGAAAAGATTCATGAAGGTCCTTTTCAACAATCCAAACAACCTTGAAGAGTGGCCTTATTGAGCCTGGGTTGGCTCTCGGTGTCGGCACTTCACCGCTACTTTGTAGCGTCCATCGCTCTCGGTTGTCTCTCATTCGAGAACCTTGATTATTTTCAATCGCTGTTCACATTGCCATCTGAGATCCCAGCTCTGCGTTCATCGGCGAGATTACCCCAGCGTTCGCTGATCCCGAGGTTCGCTCGCTCGGGCGCTCTTTCGGGGTCGTTTGCCTTCGTCGCGACGAGCCTGATAAACAGCAAATTTGAGCGCAGGGTCGTCTTCGAACCGCGACTGTTTTCCACTCTCAGGAAGCACTCTCTCGTTTGGCTTCGAGAGCTGGACGTGCGTGAGTCTGGTTAGGTTTGTCTGTAACTCGTGGTTTCATTCTCTCATTTCTCATACTTTCATCATATCATGTTATTTTTATTGTTTTTCACCCACTCCATTAATTCATATCTCATGCCTGGCTGCCTGTTGGCTGACACGATTGAGCTAACCTGTTTAACTTAAGCTGCGCTAAACAGCCCTCAAGTAAAGCTAGTCTTACTGTACTTCACTAAAATCACTTTAATTCGTTTGTTCTCATTCAAAGAAAATTTAAAAGAAATGTAATTGCCTTTGTGTATCATATTGTGCCAGATGGGGCTTGCCCCGAGGCCTAATAAACCAATATATGGTTGATTCTCCCGAAGTCTGTTTTTTCAGGTATAGAAAATGAAAAAATGGTGAAAATTTTTTTGTCACATTGAACGGCGCGAACTAGTTTACCCTTTTTTAAACTATAAAATATGGATAATCATTGAATCTGGGGCCTTGAGATTTCGTTTTACGAAAACTATGTCCGATTTTATGCTTAAAATTGACTATTTTTGATTACGGAGGTGACGCACACGGAGGTGACAAATCGCTGCTTCGATCAACTAAGTATGAAAAATAAGAAACGCACAAAATTTTCCGCACAAGCCGAAATTCGGTCATGAAAAACGAGTCTTTTGACGGGGCGAGCGGTTAAAAAGAATGATCATAGCTCGAGATATTCATTTCCACGGAGGTGACAGTTTTTCTGACACGCGTAAATTTTCCAATAGAATCATTATCGCTGCATAGCTAAATTGTAAAATTTGAATCCGCAACCTACACTAATCGAAAGCTGGGTTATAATACTTGACATTTAAGTATCTAGGGACATCAAAAATGAGTTAAAGACCCAAAGCAGGCGGTATATTTGAAATTATTCAGAAGCATGATTAAAATCCAAGAAATTTTTCAATTGTGTGGGAAATTTTTTTAAAACATTTTTCAGGGCCCTATGATGGACTTAAACTTTACTTTAGATGTATAGAAGCTGGTCTCGTAGTTATTATAGGGTCAGGTGCTTATGAGAATGCATGGTAAATGCAAGTAGAGTTGATTTTGTGACCTAGACATGCCACGGTAGTGACATTTGGCATGTATATCTTCACGGCAAATTTAACTGGCACTAAAAAATTGAAATATTTATGTCTAATCATGAAGAATACAACAATATTAAATGAATGACCGAGCCAGTTTTGGCTCATCTTCACTAGTTTAAGAACATGGCATGTAGACATGCAAAAAGCAAACTTCGTGAGAATCAACGATATACAAATCTATACAAATTGAATTTTTTCAGATTTTGTGAGAGCTTAAGGCCTTCAGATAAAATCATTAAAAATTTAAATGATTGTATCTTCGGTAAAACGGTTCGATATACCAGACCAGAATATTTTTTCTTAATTTTGTCACCAAAAAACCATTCCTCGAATTTTTTCAGAATTTTCCATTCGTGCTGCTGAAGTCTAGAGCTGAATAACCGCTTTTTTGAACGAAAATAATTTTTTATTTCTGCGCTTGCTGACTAGCGCTGCTCTTCTAATTAATGCGAAATTCAGAAGACATTCACCATACTTACATTATTTTTCAAATGTCTTCAGAATTTTGCATCAATCTCTGTAATGTTCTAGATTGAGCTAGGAGGTCTCAATCGAAAAAATGGAACCATCAAAACACATTAAAATTTGACAAGGAATTCGAAAAAAGTATTTTAAAAGTTTTTCACCGGAACCTCGAAAATTTTAATTTTGTGGCCATAACATTCCAACATTTCAAGAAAATCAGTGGATCTCGTCCACAGGTTTATCTAAAATATTCTGAATCTGACCCAAATAGGTATTTAGACGTATTTAACTATAGATAAAAAGAGTCTGTCCAGTTGGGCGCTAATGGACCCAAGGGTTCAACCGATTCTAACCTTTAACTTTTTGATTCTTGTATTAATATCATTCCACATAGTCTCTATTAAAGAGTTTCTCAATTTCTCTCCATTTATAGCATCTTGCATAAGTTGAAATGAAAACATCCACACATGTAATTCTGTTACAAGAAACCAAGAAAATAATGTATCTGGCATGCAGTATTCTGAAAATAAAAACATTTTTTTCATGTTATTCTTCAGAAAATTCTTTTTTATTCCTGTATATTTTAAAATACTATAATGTGAATTTAAAACAAGGCTTAGTTTTCTATTTTATATCATTAGGGCTTTTAAATAAAAAATGAAATAAAAAAATACACATACACACACACACACACATGCACGTACCTCCTGGCTAGTGGGTTCAATCCCCACCGGGCGAATTTTCAAGGTTCGTTTTTTCGCCTGGTGTGGTCGGGCCCGTGCCCAGGTGAAGCGGGTACCACTAAAAAAGAAGACCCGGGCTACGTCATCAGCCTCCGAAGCGGTAAAAAAACCCCGATCACTGTGCGAGCTGGAAGCGAAAAGGATAACCATAAGTAGGAGCCCGAGGCGAGGACTCACAAGGATGGCAATAGATGGAGCACAACACTCCCATGATGAAGTCAGAAGCGAGAACCATATTCACAAGAGGGCGCCGGATGTGGGAGCCAAGGCTCCTCCGGGACGCATGATGGCGCCTGAAGCGAGAACCACACTCACAAGACGATAACAGAAAAGGAGTATCAAAAACTCACGGAGACTCACAGGGTAGCGCCGGAAGCGAGAACCACACTCACAAGATGTAGCCGACAGAGCAAATGGGCCTCTTGCTATTGGCAGCAGAAGCGAGAACCACACTCACAAGATGGCACTAGACAGCGAGTTCTAAAAATATCTAACGAAGGAGGAGATGGCAGCAATCTGTGACCACGCAGTAGACGGCTCTGAAGAAGGGGGTACGACAATCGAGAGATGGCATTGCGCAGGATCGGAGGTTTACCAAGTACAAAAAAGATGAGTCCCTGAACTCCTAATCGTCACATATCACTATGAGACTTCCTGGCTGGGTGGGTTAAGACACAGGGCCAATTAAGTACCTTCGAGTACTGCTTTAGTCAAGTTTTCATAGATACTCGTATGATAAAAGTAACTAGAACTAGCCAAACTAAATAATCTCTAGGCAGTCGCGTCTACTGTTTTTTCGTACTACATTCATCAGTTATGTGAGGGTTATATCGCTCATTTACCACCACCCAAGATTTGCACGAAATGTCACTAGAATATGCATACTTAAATAGTTATTCGCTTTACAATATTTTTTATCTACTTTAATAGTTATTAAATCACTATTCGCTCTGAGAGTTATGGCGAAGCCTAGAGTGTCCCTGCAGTCACCATTAACATGTAATCTTATAGAAAAAACAGGACGTCCTGTCAAACACGCCAGCGTCGGCCGCTGAAACTAAATTTTTTCTAATGAGAATTATTATGAGAAAACGCCAAGCTGCGCTAACAGGTCCAATAGGACAATCTGTAACAATAGCTTATTTGATGACGTTCCTCGTTTAACGAAAGCTACATTTTAACTGGCGAGTTCATCGCATTGATATCGATATCTACCAGAAACTATCCAAACAGGGGGAGCGAGATCGGTCAGGCACATATACGAGATATCAAAAATTAAGAGGTAGAGAAACGAATGTCAGGGGAGAGGTAGGTCAGTAGGTCCTGATGAGTGAGTGACAATTATGTTAACACTGATCACTAGGCTATAATGTTTGAGATACTTCCTTTTGGAAACTAGGTTGCCAGCCGAGCTCCTTCAGGTCATCGCAAGTGGAGTGCCCACATTCTTGGAAGCAATTGTTTCGCTGAAGAGATTTCTAGCGTGGATGTTGTGTTAGGTTACTCAATTTTTTCAAAAAGTAGAAGCGAATCCTTTAATATGAATTGACCGTAGTCTTTTTATTTATTTCTAATTGCGATCTGTATAATTTTGTCCATTTTTATCGATAAAAGAACACTATTCGCCTCAGCAGGAGGCAAAAATATAGAAAGGTCTTCTCTCGAAAAGTAACTTTTTAGAAAAATTGTTTTCGAATGTATTTACAAGAGTTCAAATCCTTAAAAATTATCTTCGCGGGCTTTTTTTTCATCTTTCTAAACTCTGAAAGTGCATCAAATTTTACGTCAAAATATGTATTTTCAAAATTTTTTGAAGACTCGGAACATGAAAATATCGCATGGAAGAAGTGAAAGTCGTAATTTTCAGTTTTTACAGGTTTATATTAACCGCTCGACGAAGAGTTGGTGGATGCATAGATTCATCCTCTCTTCTAAGAAATCTGAAATTCCTTAACTTTTAAGATACTTTTACACTCATGATCACTTTTGACATGTTTAGATCGTGAAATTATCATCGTAATACCTTGAAAAATATTACCAAATGATTGATTTTTTGCACAAAAATTTACGTTTTTTTTGTTGTTTAAAGAAACTCAACTTTTCTATAAAATGTCTTTTCATAAATCTAGGCCCAGATTTTGAAGAAGTTTTCGAATTATTTTTTCGGAGAAATTCCCAGATTTGAATTACTTTTAAAAAAATTTCCCGTAGGATTCCGCGAAATTGTTTCTAGGGAATTTTACGTTAAAGAATGTGGTCGAGAAATTTTTCCAAGGCCCTAAACGTAGAAATAAATTACATTTCGAAACCAAGTCAAATTTCGTAGTTATGAATGTTAATGGATAAACAGACAAAATGAAGCAATGTCATGAATCAGGAATAAAAGAGGCCATAAAGTAAGATGAACAGTAGATACGGTTAAAAGAAGGTGCGAGGAGAAGATAATATCTAAGAATTACTGATGGGCTAAGACCATAGTTCTGATCACCATTTGATGAACGAGGGATGTGAAGTTCACGCACAGGAAGTTAAACACCCATTCCAGTGATATTCTAGCAGTCAATTATTTTGACTACTACGGAATAAGAATAATATGATCATTGAAATAATATATTTTTATTACAAACCTCTGTAAAATTTATCGTAGCACAATCCATCAACTATATTTTCATAAAAAAGAGACCCTTGCACTTGCAATTCCTAAAATAATAAAGGTAAAAAATTAAACATACTGCTCATGAAGATACAGAATTCTAATATTAAAAATTAGTATGGGTTCAATAAAATATTATGAAACCTTGTAGATTAAATAGTAAAACATAGTTTTTCTTTAAAAGTCTTTCTCGTTAATGTTTGAAAGTTTATTACGAATCATAGTTTTCTTTCGTTTTAGAAAATCCATCTGGACTTGACTGAAAATCTAGATCATTTTTAAGTACAAAATTATGACCAAAATCCAATTATTATTTTTTACCAAGATATCTTTTTTGGTAATACACATATGATTTTAACAATTACTAATTACTTTTGATAAACATGAATTTGATTAATAATATGGCAAAAAATTTGAATTGAAGTTAAAAAAAACATTGATATTTCAATAAATAAGTGGTTTCTAAGATAATGAACATATTAGTTTAGCTTGCCCAAGTTAAGTGAAAAAAATTATTCACTTAATTCACCCTTAAAATATCCAAAATATTCAAGAACTAATTTATAGTACAATTAGTCTCTCAAAGATTTATAATATAAATGCACAATTTTTTTATGGGATATATTAAAATAATAAAGATCAATCTGCTAAATAATTTCAACTAGAGCAAATTACATTGCCTCACCAAGTAAATAATGGTCTGATCCTTGGTTACAAATGATTAAAAATTTTATAATCATTCCATGATAACTTGAAAGAGTTAACTATGAACTATTCTTTTTATACCATTCTTGAATATAAACATCAAATTTTATTTCTATTCTTACATATTTTTTCAGGGGTTGCTGATAAAACTTATCATTCATTGATGAATTTGTATGTAACTTTGCCTTGAAAAAACTAACACTTGGACGAATATCATTTTTGATTAAGGAAAATTTCGTGTGATTAAAAACATTGATACAATGGCCTCTAACAATGTTTCTAAATATTAACATTTTTTCACTATTTATTATGTATTTAACAGGTTACTAGCATATAAAATCACTTGTCAAAGAGTTATTATGAATCAGACACAAAAATGTGCAATTGGTCGCAACGTGGTCTGCGTCAAGAAGTACTTATCAGCCAAACGACCTACACCAACAGCTGATCGAGTGTCTCGTCAACACTCAACAGAGACAGTATAATCAACTTAGACTAATAATTTATGCTAATGCTAATTAAGAGATCACAAGGTGTAAGAATGAAGTAAGGATGTCGTTCGTTATTAATTTTTGTAAATGTACTACACTGGACTCAAATGAATCGAGAATCTGGAACGAGGAATTTTGTACACTAAATACATGTTCCAATTCCGGTTTCAAAGAATCTACATAAATTGTCCATTGTTATAAGTTCTAAACTGTGACTCGATTTAAATATATTTCATGTAAGTTATAATTATGTAATAAAATCTGATAATTTTATGGAAGATTTTACGTAAAGTCTAATGTCTGATTTGATGAATTATTTTCACCTGGAGTATGCGTTTATTTGAAAACCCTTTTGAAAAGTTTACCCAAGAACACACGTGAAATCCTTTCATACAATTTTTTCTATTGGTTTAACCATAAAATACTTCCTGCAAATTCAGTTAAAACTCGATTCAAAATCCATTCAGAAAAATAAACTGAAAATTTGAACTAGAAAATAACGCTAGAGAATTCATCTAGAATCGAGGCAATCCTATAGTCAGATTTCTATCAGGGTTCCCTAGCAGTATTACTTTGAAGTCTTAGTAATTTATATTTAACTTCGTTGAAGTATTTCAGATAAATCTCAAAAAATATTTAAAATTCATAGTTTTCAAAAAAAAATTTTGTTTTATACGAATAAAATTCAAATTTCCGGCACGATTACGATATCCGTGGTCCCGCGATTTTATGCAAAATTCCGATGGATGGCGCTCAATCTCGATCGTTTGGAGTGTTTAAATACTTTTTGCATTCATTGTAATGTGAAAATTTTCAATTTATATAACAATAAAGTTAGAGTAAAAAAAAAGGATTTATTCCTAATTTAGTATATTTCCCTTATCTGTATCTTTTTTCTGATCAAAATTCCTTAAGTTTTTATCTATAATTGTATTTTTTAACATCTACGATAATTTTCAATTATTGAATTTCGAACACGATGCGTTTGAACGATCATTGTTTGTCCGTTAAACAACTTTTAGCTGGCAGTAAATTGTATAGCTTTTTGTCAGTGCTTTTTGATATAGTTGACGGGTAATTAGTTTATGAAAAAATGAGTGCACAATCCTTTGTTATATACTAAATTGAAAAAAAATTTTCCATTTTTTACTCATTTGAAAAGTTAGTAGCTACTAATGAAGTCGCGATTAAGTTTCTGGAAGATGTGAGTTTAATTCTGTCACGTAGTTCTATAATGAATAAATCAATGAAATTAAAAAAAAAGTTCTGAATTTTTTATTTTTTTATTTTTTTTAAATATGTGTGTGGTTTTTTTTAGTGGGGGGGCTTCGCCCCCCCAACCCCCCAGCGGGGGCTTCGCCCCCTGCTCCCCCAGCAGGGGCTGCGCCCCTGCACCCGCTCCTCGCCCTGACCTCGCTCCACACGCCGGCACCTACCCGACGACCGCACTCACTCGGGGAGCATCCAATACACCCTTTGTGCTGACCACATTACCTGCTTATAAGTTGTGTTTTCTGCATCACACAGGTCACGAGTTGAGTCGACAACACTTGTAGTCGACTTTTTTCACGTTTATATACTTAGTTACGTCGAGCTGGGTCGAAATTTTGCATAAACTCGCGGGACCACGGATATCGTAATCTCCCCAAATTTCCTATTGAGGATTTAACGATAATCAGAGCCCTCTGTAAATTCAATGCGGCCATCTCATAATAACCTTCGTGCCACACGAAAATAGTTTCAGTCGAGTGTGATGACCTTTACACTAAACTCTATTCCTTATATTCTTTTTGTAAATAGTAAAAAAATCGTGATCAGTCAATGATATGCTCTTTCTAATTTGTCAAGTCCCTGTATAATTTTTGAATAACTGCTGAGGTTGTTTACATACACACATTGCGCCCAACATATCTTAAAAAAGTTTTCTTGCCTGAAAATATATCAAGAAATTAAAAATGTCCAGTCCTGCTTTATTTGGAAGTAGTGTAACTCGTGGAGCTGTTAAGAATCTTGTTGAAATAAAAGCAGGAAAAATGACAATGAAAGGAAAAATGGTATATCCAGATAATAGAAAAGGCCAACTATATATTTATCAATCAGAAGATTCCTTAATTCATTTCTGTTGGAAAGACCGAAGCACTGGGATAGTTGAAGATGTAAATATTTTTTGTTTCTTTGAGAATATTATGAATAAGTAATTTATTAATCAATTTATTAGTTTTTAATAAGTTGTACCAATGCTAACTTATGGTGGGGAATTTTTCTATTTAATATGATTAATTATTGACTAGTTATGATCAATTTTAATTGATTTTAGTATTACAACTAGTAATCAGTTTATTTACAAGAACATTGATTTTTTTAATACAACAATTGAATAAATTTAACCTAGTAGAAACTAGTCAAAATAGTGATTGATTATAAGACTACTCTTTGATTATCAAGTCAGTTTGTTTGCAATTTTAATATTTTATGATGAAATTTTAAAACTTTTTAATGGGGTTGCTTCCATTATCACTAAAAATTATAAATATGAGAAAATGAATAAAAAAGTTTTTAGCTGACAGAACCATTCCAGATATAATTGTAGATTGCGATTAGTTCACCCGTTTTTTGTGTAAATAACCCTTGCAACATGCTTCTTTTATGTACATTTTTGATATAAATTATTTTTTAGTTTTTTTTCACTGAAAATATCAACTTGAAAAAGTATCTTTATCTGGAACAAAATCCACAAATATTTAAAAAAATTTTTCTTTCTGAGCACCATTTTGGGAAATTGAATGAAAAGAAGCAAACGTATGTACAAAGTTTACTGAAAATTGCTTACTACTCACAAATAGTATTGTATCTTAGTATAAATCAAAATTACTTTACCAAATATAAAAGAGGGTAAATTTTGAAAAATAAAAAGTTTGAAAACTTTCTGGAATTTTATACAACTTTTCTTAATTTTGAATGTTGGTTTTTTTTTATGTTTTTGAATTACTTAAACTTCGATTTTTTAAAAGTTTTTATTTTTCATGCTTGTTATTCAAGATTCTTCTTTTTTCGTTACAAATTGTTACAAATGGTGATAAAAATTAATTGAATTTTAAGAAGCTTATTATAAATTAGTTATAAGATCCAATTGAATGCAGAGGCCATTGATGCTGCATTCGTTTATCAACCAACCTTAAGCAGCTTAAGCAGCTTTTTGTGAAAAAAATATTAAGTGTTTGCTTGAAAAACTAAAGTTATAGACCAGGTGCAGTCTCCATTTAATTTTATTCCATTTTATTTTATTTTTTTGTTGTTCCAGTCTCTATGTAAAAAAGCATATTAAAAGTAATGACAATGCAAAATCTTATGCACTCTGCCTATAGGTTTGTGACTGTTGCATATCGAAGATCTTTGAGTTATAATAATATATTAATAAACAAGCTTGATTAATATTCATTACTCAAAATTATTTTATCTATTGCAGGATTTGATTATCTTTCCAGATGATTGTGAGTTTATTCATGTGAAACAATGCAAAACAGGACGAGTTTATCTACTGCGATTCAAATCATCCAGCAGAAAATTTTTTTTCTGGCTCCAGGTACTTATATTTATTATTTATGTTTTTTTTTGCATGTATATTGTACTTAAATTATTTTTAACTTATTTGGGTTTGTCTTCGAAACAAGTGTAGAGACAAGTTTTTTTTTGCTTTTTTCAAACATCTTGATCCTTTTGAGGTCAGCTACAATGACTAAAATTTAACTACTAAAAACTGCTGTATTAAGATATTTAGTTCTTTTTTTTTTTCATTGACAAAAGAATATCAACCATTTGAACAGTGCAGCATTTTAACGAATTTGCTTCTGTAACTTTTTCAGAAAATTGTGTAGTAGTTTCACAGTTATTGCCTTTTTTATAGTCTTAAAAAAAAGATATTTTGAAAAAGCATTTTAACAATTTAAAAAAATCGTTACCATTGCATTGAAAAAAAGCTTCGTTTAGATGTGTAATCAATACTATATTTATTTCCTGTCTTGAAAAATTATGTGAAGTCGTTATTCGTCATTTGCTTGGTCGACAAGTATCTGCAACTCGCTTTATGATTGATTGAAATATTCAGATCGAAAAGATCTTAGCTGATGATTGATATTTATAAGTTACTATACTCATTTCCTAATTTTTTTGATTACACTAAATAATCATTTATTTTCTCTCATTCAGTTGACTCAGCACACGTATTAGTGTATTCTAAAATTTTAAAGCGCGCATAGCTATGTTAACTTAAATTGATCGTTCATCAAGGTCTCATTTTTGATTGCCGTAATGATCAGCAAGAACTGGCGCCACTAATCTCGTTCATTAATGAATCAAATTTCTAATTATATAAGAAATATTTGTCCTTATAACTTTTATTAAATGAAAAAGTGTACATCCACAGTGGAGGGAAATAAGAGCAGATTAACTATTATTTAAAATTAAGTGGAAAAAGTATCTTAACTATTTATTCTATCTTTGCTTATCCTAATTTCAATTACAAATATAACTTTTCTCTTAAGCAGCGTTGGTCCGAGGCAAACTCTACGCTCGCACTCTACGGCGAAAAGTACCGGTGGCGCCTGACGTCAGAGTTCCGAAACTCACGTCTGGCGAACCTTCTTTACAATGCACGAAAATAATTTAAAAATTTCTTGATATGATTATGTTGTAAGATGGACCCTTTTATGTTAAAAATGTTTAATTATGCATAATCATATCAAGAAATTTTAAAATTATTTTCGTGCATTGTAAAGAAGGCTCGCCAGACGTGAGTTTCAGAACTCTGACGTCAGGCGCCACCAGTACTTTATGCCATAGAGTGCGAGCGTAGAGTTTGCCTCGGACCAACGCTGCTCTTAAGGCTCCTCTATACAGAGGGACAAATACCGACATACCGATATTATTTTGTACCCATTTTTTTTATTCTCTAGACACTCGTTGAACTTGAAACTTCATGGGAGTGATTATGAAACTTATAAAAATGTGCCTCTGGCGCCAGTTTTTAATAAAATGTTTAATAAAATCATTTTAACTAATTGTTTGAGAATACGTTACTTTTTAGGTTATAAAAGGGGGATAATAGAAAATCAAGTTTGTTTGAAAGTACCGGTCATTTAATTGAAAACTGGCTCCAGAGGCACATTTTTATAAGTTTCATAATCACTCCCACGAAGTTTCAAGTTCAATGGTTGACCAGAGAATAAAAAAAATGGGTACAAAATAATTACGTACTTGTTATCGACTGAGTGTGTGTAGAGGGCCCTTAAGGGTCCTCTATACACGATGTGAAATGCTCAGTCGGTGACACCAGCTGAGCTATCTTATTAATCATAGAGCATACTCTTTAGCCTTCGAGTTTTTTAAAAGAGAGGCAAGTGTCATTCGTACACATGAAACTTGTACACGGGCATTTCTGTACACAAGTAAAATGTGTCCAATATTTGTACAAATAATCGAACTTTTTTTTTAAATTCAAAAAATTTCAAATTGAATTTAAATTTTAATTTAAATTTAAATGATGACACTTGATCAAAATTAAAGCCTCTGTTAATATTGAAAAATTGAAAATCAAAAACAATTGGCTCTTGCTCATTAAATAGATGTATCTATTTTGCACAGACTATTTTTTTGGTACATAGATCACTTTTCTGTTTGGTCGGAGCAAAATAAAACAAATTTTTTTTTTACCTCCAGACTAGAAATACTTTGAATTAATTTTTCGATAATTATATTTTAATTATTCAATCACAAAATGTAATAATAAAGAACGAAAATTTTATTTTAGAACGGTAAAAATCCACGTGTCTGGTATATTACCAAAGATCACTTTTCTTTCTGGCCAGGGCCAAAAGAAAATTTTTTTTCAAGTTCCATCTAGTATCACAACTTAAAACACGTATGATCTTATTTTTCTCTCACTCTCCATATCAAACTCGCGTAAATAAGTTTCATTTCACAAAAACAGTCATTGGCTCAATGCATAGCAAGTTTGGTATCGAGACAACGTTCGTTCAAAGGGCCGTGGGTTCTCATCCCGCTGATTGACAATCGGAAAAATCCGAGTGCCGTCACTAGGATTTGAACCCACGACCAATTGGACGAACAATGTCGCGATACCCAGCACGCTACGCACTGAGCCAACGAACGTTATTTTTGAAGTGAAATTTATTGGTATAATAGGCAAGCGGGAGGTTGGCCAAAAAGTACACTGAAAAAATTTTGCACTGAATTAGTGTTCACTTTGGTCTTTTATTGATATCACACTATAGTGTCTTAACTTTAGATTCAACAGTTAACTTGTAAAAAGTTCACGACGATGGTGACAGGGATTTAGGTTCACGGTGAACGCGATTATCAAGCACTTTTTGTTGTCGGGGCGATTGGACTATATTTGAGTAAAATCTTACATAAACGAGCCTATTTTCTTTATACGTTCGAATAATATTGTAAAAACTTTGTTATTTAAAAAAAAAGATATTTTTGCGAAAGAAAAAATATTTCCCGATTTTTTTGACATTTGTTGCTTTTTCGTCCGACACATCATTATCGAATTAAAGGTCAATGTAAACTCAAAACTATCACGTTTTGTCATTGTTAGGGCTGTGCGAGTATCCGATTTTTCGAGTTTTACTCGACTCGAACTCGACTCGCCGAGTTCGAGTCGAGTTCGAGTCGAGTCGGGAAAATTCGAGTACTCGAGTTTTTTCGAATACTCGATTTTCTCTCGAGTACTCGAGTTTTTTCGGGTACTCGAATTTTTTCGAATAATCGATTCTTTTCGAGTACTCGCAATGTATTTAAATTTTAAGTAAATAAATGGTGAATCAACAGTCTCTAGACCACCTCTCTTTGTGTGTACATGCTTATAAGTTTGATATTCGCAGCGGATTGGATTGGAAGAAGAAAATAATTTAATTGTACCGCACTTCATCACACTAACAATCACGTACACACAAAAGGAGGGGTCTAGAGACTGTTAATTCATCATTTATTCACTTAAAACTTGAATATATTGCGAGTATTCGAAAAAACTCGATTACTCGAAAAAACTCGAGTACCCGAAAAAACTCGAGTACCCGACAAAAACGCGAGTACCCGAAAAAACTCGAGTACTC